AAAGAAGGCAGTATGCACTAGCATTATTCTGACCACCTACACTGTCTTGTAACAACTCCTCCCAGTTGGAATCAACAACCTGAATATCATTGAACTTAACCCATGTTTTTCTTGCACCATTAAATGTGTACACCCAATAATGTCCCCCAGATGCCTGACCTTCATGAACCACAACAGCATGCAGTCTATATGGAATTCTTTTTAGGTATGGCTCATCATACATTTGCCGCAGCTGTTGTTCAAGTTCACTGATGCATCTCTTTAGCTCAGCTACTTGAGAATTGATGTCCTGAAGCCAGCGAGAGAGACAAGACTGCAAGATGTTCAGTTCTGAGGGGGTGATGTTTCTTGGGGCTGGAGGAAGTATCCGCATCCGCTTGGAAGGAGACGGGAGCTGTTGAGGCTCATCATCTATGGGTCTGGGATTGCCTTCTTCCACACAGTTGGTCATGATCTCTTCCTTCTCATTCTGTGTCTCTTGAATAGAATCTTCCTTGACTGATAAGTTGTTTTCAATATCTTCAGATTTAATAACTTCACTATTTTCTAGTTCCTCTCCTCTGTCCTCAATCTTATCATTTTCTCTATCTAGTTCATTTTTTTCCTGAACTCTTTTAATCTCTGGATCTTCAGCCATTTCCACATCATTTTCACAACTTTCAACGCCATCCACCTCCATGATAGAGGGAGAGAGAACATTATTTGATTCAACTTCCTGACTTGGGTTTAGACCTGTCTGAGCAAAGTCAAGAGTGTATTTGAGAATATCTCCAATTGGGTATTTTGCATCCCCCTTCCCATATTTTAGGTACCTATCAAGCGTTGCAGTTAAGCTGTTTAGTTCACCCTTTATCTTTGCAACTTTTATGTGTTTCTCTTTTATTAGCTTTTTGTTGATCTCCATGTAGCGATCCATGTATAGGAACTCTGGAAACTCAAATTTGTTGTGCACTTTTTCTGCTCTCTTCTTTTCCAGTGAATATTCATATCTAGAGAGAGAGAATATTAAGACTGGAGGAAGCATCTTGAACCACGTTTCCTGCTGCACTGGTTCTACAGTCTCTCCTGTCATGTTCGGCATGGTGGTTGACATGGAGGCAAGGATGCTCTCATGAATATCCTCATACTTCATCACATGAAGAGGATACTGTCCAAAGGCCTCAAGCTTGGGTCCATCCTCATCTTCATTTGCCTCTTTCTTCGACTGACCATAAAAAAGTTTCATAATTGGATTATCAAAATCTGCATCTTTGGAGACATGACATCCAGAACTCTCCTTCTCTACACCTTGCCTTCTAAGAAGCTGCTGATATTCCTCCTCTAACCTTTCCAGAAGCTTATGTGTAAATTCACAAACGTCTTGCTGGGCATTCTTCCGCATTTCCTGTCCCTGAAATATGTGAACTGCATGACTAGGATCAATGTACTTCCTGTTGGAGCCAATCATAAGGGCAAATAACTTTCTTAGTGCTGGAACAAGCTGCCTTGAGGACTTCTGGGTCTCCTCCATCTGTTCATCGATGTCCACATCTTGGGAGAAGTTAAGGATCATGTCACGGAATGCAGGGATATGGAAGAGAGGCTGAATTATGACATTAAACCAACATGAATTACCTATGTTCTTCAAGCCTACCGGAACTCCTGGCTGCCGCTTACGCTCCCTTGGATTGAGCAGGTCTATGGTGGCCTGGGGTTGGGAGTCCTTAAGGCTTGCCTCCAAAGCCCTAGACACCTCCTGGTCTTCAGCTGAGATTCCCTGAAGCGTTGGGGTCTCCTGCTGGTCCTGGAGACTAAGTGCAATGGCTTTCTGTAGGTCATCATTTTCGTCACAGGAGAGGTCAATGGTGGGGATATCCTTGTTGGCTGGAGGCTGCTGCAGAGGCGGGTGTTCCCCAGGCCCCGACGCTGGCTTGGGAGGCTCAGACCCCAAAGTGATAGATGGGGGCATGGCTGCCTCCAATGGGGGCACAAAGTCACTCTCGCCGACCGTGTCCCGTGCCACCCCACACATGGGATATCTGCCTCAAAACACACCGAGCTTAGGAATTCTTTGTGCACTTTATTTTAAAAAGTCAGAGGTGTTCCCTTACAGTCATGTAGCTCTTGGCACTGGCCATATCAAACAGGAACACTCAGGCCTGGAACAAGAAACAGACTCTGCTCCATCCTGCCTCGGCTTCTACACATTCCTCACAGGTAATTGTTTCTTCCTACTATGCGTGGGAAACAGCCCTCTTTCTCGATAAAAATCATATCTTCCATTGCATCTGTTTTACATAAACTGTACATTACTTTGTCTTTCCCTTTGGTAAGCAAGCTCTACTTTCAGTTCACTAATTTCTCATGTTTATGTACTCTGAAAAGCAAAAAGGTAAAATAATTTGTTAAAGTTTTTAATGAAAAAACAATGCAAAAGCACATGAAATATATTGAGGTTGACACACTTTCAAATGAAAAAATATTAGCATTGTTATATTACCCTTATCAACTTCTGTTAATGAAAAAATAATAATATAATAATAATAAATAGATAGATAAATAGATATAAAAATAATATAATGATATATATATAATATATATAAAACATACACATATCTGTAATATATATATATATATATATATAAATATATATATATATATATATATATATATTATATATATATACACATTTAATATATATATACATATACATTTAATATATATATACATATATAAAATATTATACATATAGCATATCTTATACATAAAATGATACAAATAATATATATATATATAATATATATATATATAACATATATATATATATATATATATATATATATATATATATATATATATATATATATATATATATACATATATATATATACTAATATATAACATATTACATGTATGCATA